TGTGTAGCCCAAAAATTGGCACACCATCCAAAGCCAATGTATGAAACTTTTCTGTCATTAAAAAAATGTCATAACTTTTTTTTTTCTTAAGTAAATAAAATTTAAAATTTTTATTAAATTCACTTACTACATAATCCAAAATAGTCAGCAGCACCAAGTGGTTTGTTACATAATTCCTCAAAAGGAAAATATGCACATCCATTTGCACCCAATGGTACCTACTCATAAAAAAAAATAATTACTACAAAATAATATGTTTATTCATATTTTGTAAAAAAAAAAATTAGTCATCTTAGGTGTTGTTTCTTCTAATTTCTCATATATTTTTTAGAAATCATTTATCCAAACATCACTTTATTTAAATAGAAAGAAAGAAAGAGGGTGATTGCTGGTGAAAATATATGAAATGACATTTATACCCTTGTACATGTACCTGTAGTTTTCTGCCCATAACAACTTCTGCCACCTGGGGACGAGCTGTACGTTCCCCAACTAATTCTTGAAACTTTTGGAGAAGGAAATCGGATGAGTCATCATTTTTTATGAAGTAAAAACCTTCTTCAGCCTTCATTTCAAAAAAATAAAAACATAAAATTATAAAATATTTCGGAAATCAAATAACACACTTGAGGAAATTGAATGAATATATAAACGAGGGCAGATTTGTAATTTGTAAAAAGTTAAAGAGTTTAGCATTTACCGATGTCCTCTTCCTATAATCTATGGAAGAACCGATTTCATGTATAATGCATCTTTCCTGCATCCATGGAGGCATGGACAAAACTAGTAAATAAAGGGTAAAAATGGAATATTGAAAAATTGAGTTTACCTTTAATGTGGCAATGAAGGGTAGAAAAAGATCTCTTTGTAGTCCACCTTCATAAAGATTATCTGGAGCTCGGTTTGATGTAGCAACAAGTATCTATACTTCCATTACAAAATAAAAAATAAAAAATAAAATTATTATTTATATATATTAATATTGAAGAGGATTTAATTCTTAAAAGATATGCAAAATTTTATAGATTTCTTTATCACTTACAGCACCATTACTAAAAAGATGACCAAATAATCGGTTTAGTATTAAAGCATCAGCCACATCATTAACCTGTAATATCATCATTATAATAAATTAATAATCATTGAACTATTATTATAAATGAATTTTATTTTTTTATTTTTCTAACGTTATAACATATTACATACCATAAACTCATCTAAGCATAATAAAATGGATTCATGAGATATTTCTCCAGCAACAACTTCAAGGGGATCAGAAACACCTTTATGCCTCTGCAATTATGAATTTTTTTAAATATAAGTGCATGGGATTTTTTCCACAAGTTTCCAAATATACCCTTACATGTTAGTTTTTAAATTATATATCTAAATATCCTTTTATGTTAGTTTTACATTTGTCATCTACTTTTTACCAAACATTATTACTTTATCAGACAGTACAGCTAGCTTATCAGCTACCAGCTATTCTCTGACAAACATAAAGGAAGCAACTTTACCTGCAAGCGACTGTGTACGGTCAACATGAAGTCATGAAAATGAATCCTATTTTTCCTCCAATTGCAAGGCCTAATAAATTCAAATTACATATAAAAAAGGTAAACCAAATGTTGAATCGTTTTCCATGATGAGGGCATTTACGTCTTTTGCACAAACAAGAGATCAAATTCAAGAGCAAGTCTTTATCCCACCTTCTTAAGTGGAACAACAAACAATTGCATTTTTTTTGTCCCATTGACTTCAGTATTAGTCAAAATAAATAAATAAAAAATAATGCTTACAATTGATCATAAAATAAATCCATTAACATGGTTTTTCCAGTTCCAACTCCTCCATAAAGATAGAGTCCTTTCACTGGTGAAACTAAAGATTGAGGCATGAGAAGTGACCATAGCCACCTACTCCTGAAATTTTAACAAAATATACAATTTTTTTTATAATATAAATATAAAAATTGAAACTTTTTGATTTCTTGATATTTGATAATTGATAAATGATAATGATAATTTACCTCTCTTTTTTTCCAGAATCAGAATCACGATCCAAATGACAGGTATCAACTGACTCAACAAGCTCATCATAAAGTCTTTGTATTTCTCTTAAAGTGCCTATCTGTATATTCCCTTATTTTGTCAAATACGAAAGGGTGTTTTTGGTATTTCAAAAATAGTCAAACATTTTCTAAATTACCTGACTTTTATCACCATCTTCAAGATCACCAGCTTTGATTCTTCTCTCATATTCCACAAGAGGCCCTGATCTTTTCACTTCTGTTATAAACACAGCATAATCAATTAATTATTTTCAACTTTTACTAATAACAAATGACTGAATTAAACTTTTGAATTTTAATTTTGGAACCTTTATAGTTTACTTCAGCAGCATCGGAAGAGATTGTTCTTGAAAACATATAAGAAGGTAGTCCACATTTACAGATATTGTAAGATGATGTATTGAAATTCCCATTATTTATATATGATCTTTTTGCAACTCCAGTTGATATTTTTTCTCCATGTAGAAAAGTAGATCGAATTGGCCCAAATGATTTAACAAAAGCTCTCTTCATCTTCTTCACTCAAGTTCTTTGATGTTGATTTAAAAAGCTGACCACTCCCAATGAAGGTAAACTTCAGGGGAGGGTCTCAAGAATCCTGAACAATATCAGGTTCTCAGAACAATTGGTAATAAAATTCCAGAGATAATTAGGAATAAGGAATATATTCGATGATAAAACATAAAAATGGAGCTCATTCATGACTTCTAGTGGTCAAATTGATTAACTTTTAACCACAATTAATTAAATTATTTTGACTTGGTCATTGTTTGCATGAGAACCCACCTTAAAAGTTAGTTAGGAAAACTAAAATTTGAAGTTTTACGTAAATCTCAAGATAAATATCATCAAGCTGACAAAAACTCGAAGAAAAAAGGTGTAATACATTAAAACGAAATAAGAACCGGAAAAAGTCAAACGTTTGTTCTATTGTCTGACTTTCGAGAAATCCGACCATTGAAAATATCATTGATTCCTGGAAATGAAATTATTGATGCTTGCGAGAATCAAAAGCTAAAGAAACCGAAAACAAACCTGAATTCGGGTGGATAGGCTTTCGAAAACTGCAACACCGATAATTGAATTGAAGTCTGCGAGGGGGGAGCTGCGTTCGGAAGATTGGGCAATTCGCTATTGATATATTATCCGAATGGAGCTTAAATATCGATAAGGGTCTGATAGAAATAAATCTCTCTTGTAATGATCAGAAAAATATGAAGAACCCTAAATTTATGGAACTCCCTGAAGTTGGTGGAGAGAGATAGAGAGAAAGAGAACCCTGTTTTGTTGGAAAGAGACAATGGGAATGGGATCTGCGTTGGGTCATGATCTTTTTTATATTTTGTTCCTTTGACTCAATTATCAGAAATCGTCCCTGTACTATTCTTCATTCAATAGTTTTGTCCTTTACAAAAAAAAGTCCTTTAATGAAGAATTTTATCTTGATTATGTAGAGAAACAATCAATTAAACATGACAACTAAAACCTAGAAACTCTCAATAGTCTCTTGTCAAACACGTTTGTTATATCGGTTGTCATGCAACGATATAATTATTAAATGAACACATAAAAAGAACACAGTTAACCGACAAGATGGGGAAAAGTTTGGTTTGATCATTTGTTTTTTACATAATATCAAACATTATATATTTATGACTTGAATTATTGAATAATGGTATAACAAAACCTATAAAAATAATACAAAGTTGTAAAGATTTAAAAAACTACAGCAAATCAACGATAAAATTAAGTTACACCGTTTAGTTGTGTATTTTTTATTTAATGTTTTAAATTTTTTTAAATTGTTATAGTTGGAATTTAAATTAGATTTTATTTTTTATAAAAGGTGTGTCATGAGAGATATGTGAAAGGTGAGCATTTTCAATTTTCATATTTGAAATATGGTTGAGGGATCTAAAAGGAAGAGAGAGTAACATTGATGTAAAAGAGTTAACATTGATGTAAAAGAGATAGATGGTTAGGGATATGGTGCACCCTAATATTGAACTTGTAAATCCAAAAAAATAAGAATATGAATGTGCTAGGTTTATAATGTTTACTAGGTAAATGCTCGTCCGTTGCGCAGAAACACCTATATAATTGAACTGTTTACAAATATATGTTTTTTTAATATAACAATAACATTGTTGTTAAATTTAATATAATAATTCGTATATTAAATTAATATAATATATTGATTATTTTGAATTATATTATAATATATACATCTATTATAACTGTATAATCTCAATCGTTTGAATGACTTCTATCCGCGAGTTACACATGAATAAAAATAAATATATATGGTTTAATGTTATTTATAGTTTTTGTTATTATTAATTAATTTTTTAAAATTTATTTTCTTAATGTTTTAATTTCTATCATTATAATTATTTAAAACATCAAACATAGTTTTTGATTTTAAAGGTAACAATGTAATCATTTATATATAGTTATTTTTAACTATTGTTATTGTAAGTTATTTTAAACTATTTATTTGAAAACTTTTAATGATTATAAAAATATCGTTAGGAAATAATTTATTTAAATTGAGATTACAATTTAGTTTTTGCATTTATCACTATAATTTATCACTTTTAACTATTTACAAAATATTCTTTGCTTTTTTAAGTGAAACTGAAATTTATATTTAAATTGACATTGTAATGTTATATTTAAATTAACAATTTAAGTATTTTGTCCAAACTGTTCAAAAGTTGTAGTTTTAAACTGATAATGATTTGCATACAATAACATATTAAATCTAATAAATAACCAAAGGGCTTCTAAGCCAGCGGTATCCGGTATTAAACTCCCTCCTTGAGGTTGAGGGTTCAAGTCCCATCGTGGACATAGGTGAATTTAAAGTGTAGTTTAAGAGTACGTTAGATTTGCCATTTCAAAAAAAAATCTAATAAATAAAGTATAATATGTTAAAAGTTAAAGATATAATTTTATAAGTAGAAGTAGAGATATTATTTTAAAATTGAAATTTAGTTTATTTATGTTTACACTTTAGGTTTGATATTTATTTAACCTTATTAACCAACATATAATCATTATTAGAAAGACACTACACTTTACCAGTTTTAGCTATTTACAAAATATTATTTGGGTTGTTTAAGTTAAACTAAAATTTATATTTAAGTTGGTCCTGTAATGTTATATCTAAATTAATAATTTAAGTATTTTATGCAAATTGTTCCAAAATTGTATCTTTAAAATGATAATGGTTTACATCCAACAATATATTAAAACTAATAAATTTAGCATAATATGTTAAAAGTTAAAAAAAACATAACTTTATAAGTAGAAGTAAATATATTATTTTAATATTGAAATTTAGTTTATATATGATTACACTTTAGGTTTGATATTTATTTAACCTAATTATTCAAATTATAATTATTATTAGAAAGAAATTGAAAAGTCATGGGGGTTTCAAATGAATGTGGTGAAAGAAAAAAGCATGAGAATTTCAAATGAATGTGGTGAAAAAAAAATATTTCCTTTATAAATATATATAAATATAGATATAGATATATGTATGTTAAACAATATAAGCCCTCTAAAAACCAAAACATGACCACATAAGATCATTCCTAATCTATTAACAGATTTGTAACCTCAAACCCTAAATTTTCATTCTGATCAAGCCTTAAGTTTATGTATTGTTTATCGAATTGAACAAAAATAATACAACTTTTGTGATTATGATTATATATTGTATATAATATAACCCTTTGGGAGATTGTAACTAAAAATATATGATATATTGGTATTTCTACTCATATTATATATAATATAACCTTTTGTGAGATTGTAACCAACCTGGTATTATTTAGCAATTCATATATATGGTTGCTTGTTTCAGGCAGGCTTATTTAATAGAGGGTTTGTTGTTCTCAGTAAACTTCAGTCAGTGGCGAATCTAGAATAGAATAACACGTGGTTCCTAATTAAATGAAGGCGGAAAAACCAAAGAGTCAACGCTATATGTGACAGATTGGGTCGGGTCGAACCAATAAAAAAACAACCAATTTGTAAAAACTCGAGTTCAACCGGACGATAGAACAACTAAAAACTAGTAAAATTTGTCTACTTAACCCAATTTTTGCCAAAAAAACAACAACTACTTTGAACGACCGAGTCTCTTTTTTTTTAAAGAGTTCATTTGCAACAACCATTTTATATAACCAACAATATGAGATGAGTTGTATTGTTTTTTAAATTTCCTAATAACCATTCATAATTTATTTTTATAACATCAAACAACTTCAACTCTCTTTTTATCTCCGATGTGTGATAGATTTTGTCGAATAGTATTAGATAGGTCCTAATTTTTTTAAAGGTGGTTCCTAATTTTTTTTCTATACAAATACTATGTAAATTTAAGAAATTAGGACCCACCTTAGTTGTGAGTGGCTACACCCTGAGTCTTCATATTCAACAATCCTCATGGACAACAAACAAACTCCAAAAAAGAAATCACTTAAAATATTTACTAACAAAAAAAAACAAATCCCTTTATCCCAAATCATTTGAGAAAGGCAATATGACATTATGATGGATCTAATTGGCGTAAAACTGTTAACATGTAGACTAAAATGAAAATAATCGAAGGACAAAGGACTAATCTTTACATATTAAATGAAAGTGGATGACGATTGTTGTAATTCCCTCGACTTGTTTACGGTTTCTAATATAAGCATAAGAGTTTATGGGACATGATTAGAGAAAACGTGAGGCTGAACATGCAACCATGACTTTAATATATTATTTAAGCTCCAGAAAATCATAGTTTATTATTGGTTAATAATCAAAAAAGTTATTATATTAGCTTTGAATCTGTTAAAATCTTTTTTTATT